GGATTCGAACTGGCAAAATCCTGGGCTGCCGAAGTGGAGCGTGCGAACTTAACCACTCAGCTACGGGGCTGGCCCCAGATCTACTTATTTTAATTCTTGAAATTTTCTTACTGAGATTTTTATGCCTTAATTTAATTAACCATCATACTGTTACATTACTGAGAGAACTTAAGCAAAGTGAAAATATTTATATTATCTTTAGCAAAACTCTTTACCTGAGGCTTTTGACCAGTATTAAAATCAAATTTTCTAAATGACAGGATTTCCATTAGAAAACAGCTCTAGAGGTAGAACATTGTACTGTGCATTGTATTTTCTAGTGACATGTCTAGATTTCTTCATGCCAAGAGCCACTGCTTTGAGAGTAAAACATCTGAGGTTAATTCTGCTAATGGCAAAAGTAAACTTTTAGTCCCTCTACTGGCTGCCTTTGTCGTAGCACAGCTTAGTATATATTTTTTGGAGATATTTATAACTAAGGTAAAGGCTATTTATAACTTTATGTCCAAGATGAATATTGAGGGAAATTCTCATATGAACTGTCCCCAAATTGAGTGACTTCATAAACATGCTTACTAAGAATGAAAATGTAAAATAGTTACTCTTAAACTACAGAGGCTTGGCACCAAATAACATTGTATTGCAGTGATTAAATCACAACTTTAATTTAGACTTTTGAAATGTTAAATTATTTTTTGGAAAACCTCAAAAGAAAGTCTTGTGAATGCTGATAGACAACCCAAACCATGTTTGAATTTCTTGTGTAAAAGGTAATGCTGTCAGAGAAAGATGCCAATTATTTATTATGCTTTTGCCAACAATAAATGTACTACAAGAGGTGGGGAAGGAACAGTGAAACTATGTGAGAAAGCTTTATTGGAGCGACATGGTCTGGTCATTTTCTGAAGAGGATTTAGAAATTTATGCTTAAATAAATTTGTTAATTCAAACGTTTATATATAAAGGTAGGGATAATTTTTTTCCTGAAGCAATAGAAAACCCTTTTATGTATAAATTGATATTCATTAAATTATTGTAATTTTTGACATAACTAATGCTGTTGCTTTTTCTAGTGTGATTCTTGACAAAACTCTTTAATCTTAGAGAGGAAGGGATCTTAGGCATGGTAGAGTTAAATAATTAAATAGCTGAAATGAGGATGGTCATATTTTTCTGTACTTTTTTCTGCCTTTGATCTTTATCTGAGTTTTCCAAAATTTAAAGCCATTATAGAACTTGCTGTTAGCTTGTGTTCGTATACATAGTCTCTGAAAGTTGGTTGAAGTTAACATAGTTTTCACAAGTAAGCATTGATATATATATTGTTTTGTTTCATTGTGTTTTTGTTGGGAGAAGATATGTTGATTTATATATAGAAAAATTGGTGGGTAAGGAAATCACAGAGCAATAGGAAACCAAGTTAAAAGAATAGGCCTATTGTAGTTAATTTCCATGCATATAGAATATAGTAAATAAAACCAAATTGATTGTAACATCATTCGTTGTTGGGTGAATATGGCATAATCCATGTTGGTGTAGAATTGTATCGAAGTGAATTTAGCTGCTACCAACAGGATCTTCAGATGCTGCAGAAAGACCCTGTGATTTAGAGTTGGAATAAGGTTCTAGCTTTTCCAGTTACCAACTGAGTGACTTTGAGTTATATCATTTAATCTCCCTGAACACTTTACCTCACCTAGTTTTTAGGGTCAAATGAGGTAATATAGGTGCTTTATTATTATTACCAAGTACCTGGTTATTACAGTAATTTCAGGCATAACTCCACTCTGTGGGGAGAGTGTTATGTTAGTACTACTTAGTGCTTAGTAGTAGTATTATGCTGGTAAAATTCAACTAAAAGCTGTGTTTTGTTGTCAAGGAAAAAGTAACTTTGATTTTAGTGTTTGAATTTAGCTTAAATTTGAATAACTTGAGACTTTTTGCTAAATTTTAATACATTTTAGCTCGATTTTTAGACATTATGGTTCTTGAGTATGTATTAGTTTTTGGATGGACATCATGATAAAGTTCTGAGGACACGATAGATCATTGTTCTTTAGTTATAAATATGACAGTTTTCTGGCCTCTGGAGGGTAATTCTCAAAGTACTTTTACAGGAATAAGAATGCATGGATGTCAAACTTTTAGTCAGAAAATATGATTTTGACTTAGGTTAAAATGTAGAGGCGATATAGAGACACTCCCACAAGTATTTGCTCCATGCCATGGTGGCTTTAAGACATTTTCTGATTTGTTTTTGAAAGGCAACAAGTCAAAGTAGTTTCAGTTTAAGGGTGGAAGCAAGATACAGTAGTTTTGACGATATTAGGATATTTGGTTTTCTTTATCTCCCTTTGCTAATTTTTGAGCTAAAATGGTATTTGTAGAGACCAGGAGAGGAGAGTCTTTGTTATATGTACACGGGTGCCTACATTTACTATTTGTGAGAGTAGAGATTATTTATCATGTCCTTAACAATGTCTAATGCTTGGTAGCCACGTAGTAAATGTTTGAATGACAAACATGAATGAATGGACAGTGGATGGCTGGTCAGATATAGGAGGGAGGTATTATACCCTTGTAGCCTAGCAAATTCTTGAATTGTTATGTGTTAAGTTTGGGAAGCATTCATTTATATTGAGGTAAAGGTAACATATCTGTATTTTTTGAAGGTTGTTGAAGTTTGAGTAATTTTAAATGGCTCTGTGAGCTTGGACAAATTTGTATTAGGCTGTAATCAGTGAATCAATGAATATTTAAATACCCAATGATTAAATATTTTGTGCCCAGTGCTGAGGAAGAAATATGGCATGATCCTTGCCTTCACTGTATTCAAACACATGAAATAATAGCAAACAATACAAATTGTAGCATTGGCACATAGCAAAATTTACCATCTTTACCATTTTTAAGTGTGGATTCAGTAGTGTTAAGTATATTCACATTGTTGTGCAAGGTGTTATATATTTACATTAAAAATAATTTGAGAAGGAGAGAGGATAAATTCTGTAGGGAAGTGGTATTCAAAATGTATTCCTTGAAACCACTCCAAGTCCAGTTTTATTCTGTTTATCTGTATTTTTATTTATTTAATTTAAATTTGACAACTACCACTATTAGAATTTGGAGAGGGAGAGGGGTAATTGTTCAAGACCAGAGTAATCATGGAAGATTTCATGGAAGAAGAGGAAGACTTAAACTGGGACTTAATGATCAGGAATTGGATGAGTTGTGAGCAGGGAAAAGGAAAAGTCTTCTAGTTGAGGGAACCAATCCAAGTTTAGAGGTGGAAATGAACATTGCCTGTTTCTAGATCCGTGAGAAAACCTGCATTATTAGAATTTATTATTTATGTTGGGAGTGAATGTTGTGAGAAGCAATATACTATAACGTAACGTTTCCCAAAATGTGTTCCATTTACCATGATTGCTGTAGAGGAGGAAGGGGAGATAATTTCATATTTTCTTCCTGCAGGTCTCCTGTAACATTTGAATGCTACTATGCATTAGAAATCTTCTAGAGGTTATATCCAACATATTTTAATTTCTTTTGACCAGAGGAAGCTTTCTCCTTTTGGAACTATTGTTTCTAGGACACCAGTTTGAAAAATATATATGCCACTTAAAAGTTGTGTGATTTGATCAAGAAATTTAGTCTACCAGATCCTCCCTTCCCCACTTTATGATGATTAAGTTATAATCACAGTTACTGTATGTGAAAGATGTTTATAAATTCATTCAACAAATATTGAGGCTGTACTGTAATATGCTAGCAAGTGAGAGTTATATAAAGGTAAGGGAAAGGTTAGAACTGTGGAATATTACATGAATATGACATTTCTACATCCTTGCTATTCTAAGTATGATCTGTGGACATTAGCATCTCCTAGCCTGCAATCTTGTTAGAAATGCGGAACCTTAGTCTTCATCCCAGACCTACTGAATCAGAACTTGCATTTTCTCAAGATCTCCAGTGATTCATAGGCACATTAAAATTTGTCATAGACTTTTCTACATCATATCCAACAAAACTTCATTCTGCTGTTTCTTGAACACTGTTAGTAGCAGGGAATTTGATATACTTTTGATTTCAAACAAAAGGTTTGCCCTCTTGAAACTTCTACCCTTTGGTCATAGTTTTGTCTTAAAGAGTTGTACAGAATGTCCTTAATATCTCAAATGAAAGCCATTTATATCTACAAGATAAGCTTATGTTTATCTGAGTCCCTCACAAAATGTGTCACCTAGAATTGATCGTAGTACTGATAGAGTGACTTGGCCAGAGATTTGAATGGAAGTTATTGAAGTTATTTCACCATATGTATAGAACGTTTGAGAGCTCTGTGTCACTGTGGTCTCTTGCCTCTGCTACTGCTGATTTGTACTCCTCTCACTGAGCGATTTCTTTTAACTATCCTTAATTTTACTTTTTCATATTGGACTACTGTTAAATTTTGCTAAGCTTGGAGTAGCCCTATTGTTTCCATGGAACCAGCTCTTAGAGTCCTTCCATCCATATACCCCGTCACTTGGTTGGACACTTTGATTACAGGCGTAGATTATATTATGTGGTAAAGTTCACCTACTATTTTGCCTTCCTCTTTAGTAAGTTTCTCAGAAAATAATCGTCTTTCTATTGCTTTAGTTTGTAATGTCTAAATATGTCAGATTATTAGAACTGAACTATAGGATTCCTTTTAAGAAATTAAATACATTTAGTTACACAAATATAAATGCTCACTCTAAAAAAAAAATACAAGAATGTAGAAAGAAGTGAAAAATCCACCTTTTTTTCTGCTTAATCCCGCTCCTTCAAGGTTAACCTCTATTCATTTATGTTTCCTTCTGAGCCTTTTTTTAATGTTTGAAAGGTATATACTATACATAAAATTTAGCAACAAGAAAGGGGGATTTATACACTATTCTGAGAATTAATTTTTCTCAGAAAAATTAAGCTAAAGTTTAGACCTTAATATGATCAATGTGTTTTTTTGACTTTAGGGAAGAAACCCTTTTTTTTTGGAGCCAGCAATAATTATTACAATTACTGATGGGAGCAAGTTGACTACTACCAGTGGAGTCCAGGATGAGGTAAGTTATATTTATATTAGCATGGATTATGCAGATGCAGTTGAAAAATCTTTACTTGTATATGCACTGTAAGATATTGAACACCTTTAAATAGGTTTTCTCTAATTATTTGATGCACTCTAGAGTCATCTGTCTACTAGAACCCATCTACCTTCTCAGTTCTTTGTAGCAATGGTCTCCAAATTTTCTTGAATTGGAACCCCTTTCGTGGAAAATTTTTGAGCCTACCCCCATCCCAATTATATGTGTATTTTTGAGTTTATGTGAGGGTGACAATGTCAGTTCGTGTAGTAAATTTAGTAAACTAAATTCTTATTTTCAGGTTAAAAAAATTTGAGACAGCATTCTATAATTTCTTCCCATATTTCAGTAGATTATCATGTGAACTCTACTCTGGAGACTCTTAGACTAGCGTACAGCAAAGCCAAGAGGAGATGAAGACTAGGAAAAGTGAAGATTTGGGTGATTTTTATTCTAAGTCAGTATAGTATTAATAATTTTTAGCTAACTTCGCCTATTCTCTACTAGCATTGCATTATGCAGAGTTGGTGTGTGCAGTGTAGTAGGGTGAATACACTAGATTTATTTTAAGGTTAAGCTGTTTTTATTGTAGTATTTGAACTGCTCTTGAACATTATATTTGGTTTTTAAAATATGTTGATATAGAAAGGAGATGGTTTAGACTATTTACTGTTTTCATTTGCTTTAGAATCTTAATTTTAATTCTCATTGTATCTACAAAGGGTTTGGTTAAGTAAGAAAAGTGTGGTTTTTAAGTTCAGTAATTTTTAGAAATACTTTCATTTGTGTGACATAATAGAATGCAAATTGGACATGGAGTCAGGACACGTGGGTTCTAGTCTTTGTTCAACTACTTTCCAGCAGTGAGCTTTGTCCCAATTAACTGACTTCCCTAAATCTCTATCCTTGTCCATGAAAAAAGATGATAATTCTTGCCTTACCTCATAGGGTTGTTGGAAGACTGAAATGAAATAATGTAAGTGAAAGTGCTTGATAGGCTGTAAAGAAAAGAAAATAGTGCTGTTCTGTGATGAAGGATTGGAACCAGTAAAGAACTGTGATTACCTGACCTTAATTTGGGGAGAAGAGAGCCAGAATTGTTTTGTTTGAGCAGTTGATATTAAAGAGAATTTAGGATATAATTGATGGAGGTAGAGCTGAAAAATTTAGGTAGATTAAAATTCAAAATTAGATAATTTATAGTTTATATGTAATTGGTAGCCTTAGCATGCCCCATAGCTGAACTTAATGGGTTTTTGGGCTTTCTTGAATTTAGTTGATATATGTAGCCAGTAATGTCCTGTCATTATCAGGAATAGGTAGACATTGATTACATACATGAACAAGCAATAGAAATGTTGCTTAACTTTAAATTGGAAACTCTCAAATTGATATTTCTCACTTTGTTTCCTTTTGAAAAATTTGAGAGAAAGATTGAGGTACCAATAGTCTGGTCAGAAATACTATTAATAGAACCCATAATAATTCACTTCTTTATTCAATTTTATTTTGTATAAATTAGAATTCTTTTGATGGTTTTGTTTTGTTTTTATCCTTAATGATTTTGATATGTAGTTGTGATTTCTATTTTTTTATTGTGAAATATTCATAGGTGTGAGAGTATCCATTCAAGGTGCTCTGTCTTACTGGTTTGTAGAAATGCCCTTTGGGATACACTGTATTCTCTTCCCATATATCTGGATGTTTTGTTTGTATTATTTGTTTTGTAGGACCTTTTCTAGCTTTTAAAAATGTTTTGAAATATATATGGATATTGGAATTGCTCACCTTTCTTCCTAGGTCCTAAGGAAGGATATTGGAGAAATGGGGCTATGTGTTTACAATATTCTAAAACTACCTTGCTAGAAAGGTTGGAAAGATTATCCTGTGTGCAGGGGTCTTAGGTTTTAGTTCTCTTATATCTTCTATGATATTTAGCATAGTACTGAGAGTAGAGCTTATGTTAAAAAAATATTAATTATAATTGTATTGAGTCTGGTAGTCATCAAGATATAAATTGATTACTACTACTACTTCTTATCTGAGATGGAAGATTCATTTGTTTTAAGGCAAAGCTTTATTTTGGTTATGTAGTTGGAACATAAGTCTCTGAGTTGTTTTGGCTTTTCAAGTTGCATGTCTTTGATCCTTTGCATGTTTGGTTCTTAGTGTCCCAACAAGACTCATCTCGTGGGGCAGAGAGAGAATGTACCCCACATGTGCATATTGTTGAAGCTTAATTTTTGCTAAAATATTGTGAAATATTGATCTATTCTAGCCCGAAAAATTAAATTATGCGATTCATTTTAAGGAGCCTTTCAGTTCATAAAAAGCATACACATGCATTTTGTTTTGCTCTTGTGCGTATGTGTTTGCACATATGTGTTACATATGATCTATATTGTCATAATTTGTAGTAGGGAATACCAAACATAATTTTGCTTTTATGTCTCTTTCTCTTCAGATCTCTTAACCTTTGCTTTTTGCAAAACTTGATTATTTTTTAGACTTATTGAATGAGTGAAGGTGTCAGTAAAATTTCCACATTAGGTATGTGTGTATATAATTCTTGATTGGCTGTGACTGCTATTGATGTGATGTGTTACTGTTTATGGAGTTGTGCACCCCACCTGTATGATATCCTTTGCTCAAGAGTTATGTTATCTCACATGGTGTATTTATTATATCTGTTTTGTTAGTGCTGTTTTTCAGGAATGAGTGTTCTTGCTGCTTTAAAATCATCCTGATAGCATTTAAGGAAATACAGAGCTCATCTAGTCTCACTCTTTATTTTATAAATGAGGAAATTGAGATCCAGGGAAGCAGAGTGACTAGCTCAAGATTATAACATTTGGTATTGCCAAAATCTGGATTAGAATTGGCCTAAATTCCAAAGACATCCCAGTCCCTCCAGACCATTCCTTTTTTCCCTGATGTATATACTGCCTCTCTGTTCTGTTTTTATGTGTTCTTAAAATTTACCTGATTTCCTGTTTGTCTACTTCAGCTTTCTATACAATTGTGACGTAGCTATTATGTTTTTATTTACTCAGTGTTCCTTGAATGACTATTGTGACCAGGGCATTTCTAGGCAGTGAGGATAACGAAGATGAATAGGATGGGTTTCTGATTCTTAAGTTCACAGTCATATAGGGGAGATCAGGTCTTAAATGGTTTTATGAGTGATAAACTAGAGATACATACTAAGTGTGTGGGAGCACTAAAGGGGGGGGGGGAAGGTTAATATTACCTATCTTGTATGTGTGTCAAATCCTGTGTAATGTGAATTTTTATAGTCCTTTTAATTTTGATTAAATTCAAGGATCTTGTGGATGATTTTGTATGGGATGTTGCTCATATCTTATATCTGTGAAATTTATAAAGAAGCCTGATATAAAGTTGTTTTGATCCTAGAAAATGTTTAATGGAAAAACTGGTGCCATATTGTCTCTTGACCTGGCTAAGTATGTACAGGCCAGAATGACCCAATTTCTTATAACTTGTTTGTCAAAATAATATAGGGATACTATTTTCACTTACAGGTCATCACTTAGCAGTGTGTTAGGCATTAGAAGAGTAACAGCTTTGTATTACAGATAAAAATCTTGAGCTATATATGATCATTTTACCTTAATTCATGACTTGAATTATCTTCTTTGGCCTCATTTAATAGAAGTCCAGGCCATTGTCTGAGGTGTCATGAGTGTCTTTCTCATGTAGTATTTTTGGATAACTCTCAAGGACTTTTGAGGACCGAAAGTATTGTATTGGAAGAGTGCATATTTTTAGCCTTTTTTTTCTTTTTAAATGCAGCTATTTGATAAAACTGGTTGTTTGCAATATTTTCACTTATGAGGAGTGAGTTAGATGGGACTTTGAATTCTGATACACAAGAAAACTATATTGCTTACTCCTGTAGTAGTAATCTTTGATGTTGATAAGCACACTTGTGGGCAAATATTCATAGGTATCATTCATCTGGTTGTATTACTGTTATATCAAATGTTTTGGTAGAATCACCACATTATAAGTAGAATTACGGAAAAAATTTCTTTTTCTGTTTTTTATTCCTGCAAAGATCCTCTCTAGTACTGTTTTGCAATGGGAAAACTGTTCTGTACTATGATTCCAGGAACACGTGGCTAACTATATTGCTCAATAAAGTAGCAAGAAGAAATCCTGCCAGTACTTTCTTGGTGATGAATGACATTCCAGGGTAGTGTAGCAGTTATTTTTCTCTTCCTTGAAAGTGCTAATAGTAGTATTATCTTTCAAATATTGAGATTTCTATATGCTGAAGAATCTTTCTGCATCTGTTTGTCAGTGTTATGATTGCCCTGGAGGCTAGCATTTTAGAGAAGGTATTTGTAGTCAGAAAACTCTTTGCTTTTGACATTAAAAGTTTTGCCATCTTATGAGTTTTCCCAGTTTTTTAAGACAAACTAGGACAACTACTTTCATAACTTCTTGGCAGATGTTCAGAAAGGGCATGTGTTTGTAGAAAGAGAATGTCTGAGTAATCTCAGCTATGCGTTCAAGTGGCTATAGATTGGGGTCTTATCTTTCAACTTGTCAGTTCTTAAAAGTTGTTGCAGAAGTCCTGTCAGTCTTTGAGATGTGGGATTGGTATTAGTGATTTTTCTGGATCATTCTGGGCAGGGTAGATGGTGTTACTTGTACAAGGATAATCTATAATTATAGTTTGTATTTAACTCTTCATGATCTGTGCTGATTAAAACATAATCTAGAAGTTTTTGAATTCTGTTTCTAGTATCTGAAATAATTCAGAAACCATACCCTCTTCCCCCATAAAATGTTTTCATTTCACTAAAATCATTAAAAATATGTGCCAAAAGCTGTCAAAATTATTTTAATGGTGTCAGCAAAGATTTTTAAACATATATTTAACATAGTTGTTTTTTCCTAGTACACTTACAATTTTGGGGAACTTTTTCTTTTTTAAGAAGACTGCTAAAGGA